ATTTCTTCAAATAGAAGGTGCGTTTAAATTGATGTTCCATGAACAATAACATAAACCTTCTTCCGGCTTCAGACGGGAAAAGCAATTTGTCATTAAATTTGGTGTTTACCGGAAGCCTATTATCTCCTATATCAAGCCAAATGTTACCCGCTAGACAAAAGCTGAGAAACCTAATATAAAAAATAAGTACAAGTGTTTACAGTGAGTGAATTTTTTAATATAAATTCGTTAATTAATTTTCAATTAATTTTATTTATTATTATATAAATTTACATTTTTATTATTCATTTAAATTTTATTTAAAATTAAAATATATATATACGGGGTGTTTAGTAAACATGCAGCAAAAAATCAAAATGGTATTTCTTGGATTATTTTAAGATTGTTTTGTCCTTGAATGTTTTCATACTGACTTGTTATTTTCTCTCTTTGGAACTTCTCAATACTGATTAAAAACATCAATTGATAAGAAATATTTTTGCTACATATTTTTGAAAAAGCTCGGCAGTCAAGTAGGAGAAATAATGGTGATAGTCATTTTCTGCAGTTTCTGTAGACTAAGAATCTTTACATTGTTTTACACTTTCATAGCTCTACATATCAGCCGTATCAACTGTTTTAAATTCTATTGCAATTTTCCCATACTTTAATCGTGGTAAGTTAATTAAATTAAACCGTGCTGCGAATGGTTTATACCACCAGGTACATGCTTTACATGTTGACGGACAAATTAGACATAACTTAAAATTTTTATTTTATAATAACTTTTTCTATATTTAACAAGTGTTCCGCATTAAAAATAATGAATCCCCATGTAATTCTGAGCGTACTAAAGAAAGATTTTTTTAATAATTTCTTAGATGACGTCACCAACTTGGTGAGAATATACATATTTTAATATACTGCCATTAGAATCTTACTGTGTTTCAGTTAAAAAAAAAACCTTTTCCGTGATAACTGATAAAATGGATTAACTTTCCATGATAAGTGATTCATTTACAAAGTTGTTTAGACAGAATTTTCCTTGTCCCTAAAGCACAATTAAACAAATCCAGATTCTTAGATAACTGATAAAATTTGATTCTAAGAATTTTTTATGAAACCCCTATAGCTTAAAATAATTAATTCATTCATTCATTCATTCCTTTATAAATACGTAAACTTTTATTCAGTAAAGAGACGCACTTTGCGGGTAAATAAAATTAGTCTTAGTATAGAGAGTACTTTTAAATTGTTAGACATCGATATTTCAGTTTTTTTCAAATGGTTTTTTAGTACTGCATCCTATTCTGTTTTAGTTCTCTTACTCTTTTGTTAAGTATTTTATATATTTGAGACAAAGACAACAAAAAACAGTAATAAAATACAGGTGTTCTACTTGCAAACCCGAAATATAGATATTTGAAAATTGTAAAAGTTTGTTATAGTTATAAACACGCTGTATATTAAACTTTGATTTTATCTCTTCATAAAATATTGCAACACATCTTAAAAATAACATTACTGCGATTTTTTTAGTTACAAAAATTCAAGATATGAATATTGGAATAGCATGGCAATATCTCGTCGGAGTTTCAAAAATAAACTAGTTATAAAGCTATAGAATATAATATGTAAAACTATGTAGGATGTTCTATTTATAAAAACGAAGTTGTATGCTAGCTAAGTCGTTTCTAATGTAATCAATAAAATATATTGCTTGACTCATCAATTTTTTGAGACATGCTGGGTAAAAAATTTTACAAAATATAAGCTCAAACAGAAACTGTATGTAACTATATAGGCATCCTGTTCGATGTTTGGAACTATAACACTTTAAGACTGTAAAATTGTGAATGACGTCATCAAGTAAAAACTCGAACAGATTAACGGACGATATCCACGATAATTTAAAACGTTTGCAAAATTTTACGGCAATCGGCTTTATGGTTTGTAAAAATTGTGCTTTATGATTTTGAACAATTTTCCAAAAACTTTCATGTCTAAGTTTAAAAAACGCACTAGGTCAATAAACTACGCAAAGATAAATTTTGATTAGCGTTCTACTGTCAACATGATACGTTCAAAATTAATCTAAAATCAGTTCAGTCATTTCAGAGATAACATCGTCAACAAACGAGAGGCAAGCGACAAACAACATATGACAGATACGGAAATAGGAGACCTACTACTTATTTCATACTTTAAGGCTCGCGAAACAATGTTCAGTCTACATTAGGTTTTTACGTATTTGCAAAAGTAATTTGTACCAAGTTATTTTTAACCAAAAAAAATATATATATAAAAAAAAATCTACGGTTATTTAGAGAAAGCTCCCTCGCTCCTTAAGTACAATCCAACAATTCCAGCTTTTTCGAAAAAATATAACATTTGATTTTGAAAAATTCTATTTATTTTAGGATAACACCCATACGAAAAAATATAGATAACGCATCCGACATTTTTAATGACACTCTATACCTATATTTTTTGAAGATTCTTGTAGAGCTTGTTTTTCGGAATTCATTAATGTGTCATACTTTAATCATCCATACTCTACCACTGTCTGTCATTCGAACGCATTATGTTACGAAAACACACTCTGTTAAATTGTTTATAATTAGCCTTCCATGATAGAAAACGGATTAATAATTGCTCCAAAAATATGAATGCACTGATAATGAACAAGACTATGCCTGTACTTCTAGCGATTTTTCCATTTGAAAATGTTCCGATCAACATTCTTTCAGCAAGGACACGTATGGCAATTCCGACACGTGTAGTGTAATAGTAATAATACAACACTGGGGTGTACCATTTTTGAGATAAGAAATAAAAAAAAAACATGCCACATTCGAACGTGGACGATTTTCGCGTTGTAAGTCTGAATGAAGATGAACACTTTTCGTGGTAAGCTCCGTTTATATTAGTATAATAGGTTTCTATAAAATTTCGATGTTTTAGAAAAATCTCAATGGCAAGGCGAATTCCTAAACAACAAGTGCAGGATTATGTTATTTAAAAAATTTAAATCTTACTTCCTATGAAAGATAATTACGCAAATTTTGGTTTGCGATTTACCATCTACACGATTTTCCTAACATACATATAAAATTTGAGAACAATCCTTTCGGTAGTTTCGGAGATTATTACAGACATACAGGCGGACAGACCTGGTTGTTACTGGTTATCCATGAAATCATGAAATTAGGCATTCGTCAAATGGACTATATTACAATACTACTTAGTTGAGGTTCAGAAAGTTAAAATAAGAACAAATCTGGAGCACCAACCTACATCTATGGAGAAATTTTTAATATTTTTTGTGACGTCATCAATTTTCTGGAAAAGGTAACTAAATAAATTTTAATTCCTGTTCTGCGGTTTTTAGTGTTAATGTGAATTCTATATCTAATCAAAAATTCAATAAGTATATATGTTATGTAATATAATTATGAGATAAAGTGTAAAATGTAATATCTCAATCTTTTCCAAAGTGTCTATAAGTTGTTATTAACTTTATATTATTGAGTTTGATGTTCGTAGCTTCCACATATATTTTTACGTCTCAAGTGCTAACAAATACGAACATGTAAGTTTTCCATTCCATCTGTCTATATGTTTGTTAGCTGTTGACAGTTTAATCAGTTATATGAAATAATTTCCTCCACAAAAGTGTGTAAAATTACATGCACCTTTGCCTAAGGTTAATTGCACTCTACTTTATTTACTTCAACGGGTTGTCCTAAAAAAAATTAATTTAGATCAACAAAAATTGATAAAATACTAACACAGTTTTAGAATTTACAAAGCATTAAGTAGAATTTATTTGTTCAAGTCCGTCGGAAACTTGATCGTGTAATCTCCAAAAAAAATCATCATCCGTAAATCTTTACTGAAAAAAAAGACTGGAAATGCGTCACGGTATGTACAAACATAATATTTAAAAAATGGATGGATAAACCGAAATTAGAAGGGTAAACGAAAATATAGCACTATCCCTGGCAGTAACAGTTTATGTATGTGCATGAGTATTGCTGACAGCGTTACAGAAAGCATGCAATTTTTTTCCGGTTCCGAAGCATTACAACGATATTTTAACACAGTCAACATCGTTTTCGTCATTAACATAACCACAAATATTAAAACATATATTTTAGATAAACATAGCAAACAGGCAAAAACGATCAGCAAATAATAAATGTGGCAATTAGTTTTGGGTAAATAGAATAACTATTATATATCGCTGCAATCATCGACGGGTACATAACAAGATATACCTATAAATGCTGACCTTGTTGTTTATTTTCACATCATCACTAAATGATTAAAGAAAAGTAGTTCAACATAAAGTGGCAATAATTATGCAGGTTCTTTCCATATGTAATAAATTAATAATATAACGTCAAACTCTCTATTTTTGTAAATTCTAAAGTCCAAATTGTAAATGCAACTGAAAAAATAGATCTTATTTAAAAATAAATAAGATAAAAGCCATATAGATTAATTATCAAACATTTGAAGAAACAAATCGGTCGTAAATTTTACTGATTGCTAAATCCGCTAAGTCAGTTTGTTTACCGACTTATACACATGATTTTTCCAACACCTGTCTTCGCAAATTAAAAACTGCACAGCTACGGTCATATCTGATGAACTAACCCGAATATGCATATACATATATGCAAATTATGATTTTTTTGCAACTCTGAACATGTGTCGCCAGTTACACAAATGGCATCGAGCAGATATGTACCTATCAGCGATAACAAGCTACACAACGAGCTCGTTATCAGAGATGATCGAAATTCGTAGAATATTCAGTAACAATGTCGATAAACCCGTTAGGGTAGAAATCCCAATGGCTCTTCAGAGTAATTTTAATTTGTCGCAGTTTCTGTTTGCAACATACCGGAATCTTAATTATTTTCGCAATAATCATAATTGGATGGGCGTTAACCGCCCGTGAACTAACTTAACAGATAAAAACAAAACTTCAAAACTAACAAATACGTGCATACTTAAACAAAGAACAAAGAAATGAACGGATGGTGAGAGACGAATTTTAGTGTAGCCTGTGTTTTTTGCCCATTGGAAGGAAATCTCGGATTTCTTGAAGTTTTCGACAGTGTTGAAAATAGTCTGGTTTATGCACAAACCGCCACTCGTCAGCACGGATCCGGCAAAACGGTGGAAGAAGATTCCACCGTTCGCGGAAGAGCACTGCGAAGGATCTACATACATCCTGGAACGTTCGGTCAGGATCGGAAACTCCGGGCAGTTTCCGAAAGGACCCGATCAATAGAGCATTCCAAAGTTCTGTGGGAATCATTGCAAATTAATATCGTAAAAAGATTACTATTACTTCATGTAGGTCAGAGTCTTCGCGTTTTCATTAAAAGGGACCAATTTGTAATTGCATTGGACACAGTGAACCTCATTTTTATTTTCGTTTGTAAAATCCATCCGACGTTATGTAAATGTGTTTTCGCAACGTCACCAGAAGAAATATACGGTGAGAAAATGAGAATAAACAAATCAAAGAAAATAAAAATAAGAGATTTATTTTTAGCGTAAGTTAATAACGTTGGCGATGCTCGTTACTGAAATTTTCAGTAACAAGATTTCATTCATTTAATACGACTCAATGGCTTCAGTGATGAATCCGCACATGTTTTATTAGTTGCATAATCTTCCCTTTAATCACTTCAGCCCCAATAAACGAGGGTTGACGTGGCAGATGCGATTCGCAATGAGTTTTAGCAATTGTAGATCTAGATGAGGGGAGCTATTCCCCTTCTGACATGGACGTGTAGAATAATGTGCTTGAAATTCAATTGGACGTTAGAAAAATGATGAAAAATGACACCAATTTCTGACGACTAGAGTAACACAGTTTAGAGTTTTATATAAGATCTGAAATCGATAATGTAATTTTGTGAAAACAAGCGCATTACGAAAGGGCCAGCTGACGCTCAGAATATATGGATGATTGTTTCATAAATGTATTACTGTAGTATACAACCCCAACTACGTATTACGGACAGAAAATACTTTTTATATCGTATCAATTTGTCTTAGGAAATACTAATAAATAAATGATTTTAACTGTGTGCTAATAGGCGAAATAGTACTTTAACCGACTAACCGAACAAAAAAAATCACCACTTAATAATTTGTAATTCATTTATCCTGTTTTTTAAAGATAATTTGGAACAAGAATAATGAAAAAAGTATGTTGGTATATACCGGGTGTTCAGTTGAAAAATTCACCAAGTTGGCCTTGATTTTTTATGAACATTGTGAAGTATGTCCCCAATTAACCTATAATTTAGTCCCCAATTAACCTATAATTTAATCGATGACAGCTGACAACGCGGAAATGTCATTTATACACAACATTATGGGTTAATTAAACACATACATTTTTCATTACATTTTCTTCTGTCACAAAAGCAACGCCAACTTGATGATTTTTTCCAATTGAACACGCGTTATATATATGGCCTTAATTAGTAATCATAAACCATACGATGTATATTTGTTGTTACTAAAAGCAAACAATTATTTATGTCTTTTTTTTTACTGTAAAATTACATTTAAATACAAAAAATTATGGAATTTAGTCGCAAATGCAGTATTACCAGAGTAAATATATTAAAATAAATTGACCTACCAATCCCATAATAGTGCAACGTTTTATCACACGTGAATAGTTGCACTCAATCATAACAGAGTACTAATTGTTAAACAAACTCTCAGGCACACGAGTTACGAGTTATACAATTTTTGAATCATTATCACATTTTGACCATGTAATCATGTAAACAGTTTTTCCTTTTGAGCAAAAACGACACACATGCCGCTATTTTATTTCTTTTACTCTCAGGCCTTTAAATACAATTATTAATAACTATAAGGCGTGGATTATAAGAAACAAATTAATTGAAACATGTTTGGTTTCATTCCTATATAAACCAAAAAATATTTTCAGTTTATGTTTATAAAATCGATATTCATAAATTAGGAGCTTAATGTGATTATTTTTTTTTAATGGCACGGTATTATTTGCTTTCTTATGTTTAGTAGTTTATACTCCAACGATAGGAATACCTATTTTGTTATGGTTTGGTGAAAGTTCAACTTGATTGAACGTCTAAATTCCTCCGCACTGAGGCAAATTGGTATATTTGTTATGCTTAGTGTTAACAATCCAGTGGTGCACAGCTGCGCATTTCCAGTCATGTAATAAAAATTAAATAACTCTTACTCGTTTTTTAAATCTAATAGACAGTTATATGACAATACATTGTTAAAACTGGTCTTGATGATTTTGTGTACAGATTGTACATGTACTTTGCTTGGATCAGGAAGACTTACACATTCTAAATCGACTTTTAAATTCAGAAAGGTATTATTTCATCAGCAATAATATTCCCTATGCCTATGATAATCTTAAAAAGTCTGAAAGATTTTAGAGCATTCAGTTTTACAGTTAAATTGTAAAATGTTGCTATACAATTCTAAATGTCGTAACGTAAAAATTTAGAAACATGTTATTTTATAAAACTGACCAACGATTTACTTTGCCAAATTTTGATATAACATCGTCAAATTGTTGGGTGGGAAGATGAGGTCAATCAGTCCAGTAGTTTCGTAAATTATCTGTTTAATGAAACTCACAACAGATGACAGAGAGACGAAAACGGTAACCTAATTTTTCATACTCTAGGGATTATAAAAGTTCGAAAAACATGAAATTAGCCATGGATTCTACTACAGTTATGTTCAGCAAATTAAAACAATAAAGTTATTTAAACTGAACTTTCCTTACTTCAGAAGCACAACGAAACACCGGTTCTTATGTATTTTTAACGACCTGTCACAATTAAAAATAAAAAATCTTTGAAAAATTATTTCTTAGAAAGGAAATGAGTATATTAATTGCATGTACACAAATAAAGAAATATACTATTTCTCAGACATGTTCACTATATACAGGATGAGTCACTAAACGCGCGGTTGTCGATATCTTAGTACTTATTAGGATTCATTGATTAGCATACTTTAAAATTATTTTCTACTGTGCAGAGCCTTTTGTTTTTGAGGCATACAACTTATTATTATTATTATTTTTTAATAGAACAGCTATATACTTTTACGTATTCTCGTTAGATTCTTCCTAGGCTTTATAACCAGTTTACTTTTCAAATTTTCTTGGATTTTTACTTGCCGAGCGCAAGCAAAGGAAGTATTGTAATCGACGTTTTATGATCCCTACAGTACGAAAAAAGTGGTCTCCCGTTTCCGTCTACTTGTTATCTGTGTCGATTTTTATTAGACGGATAATTTCCAAAACGACTGCACCAATATTGTCAAATTTTCTATGTGTATTAGGAATATCATGCAAATGATAAAACGCCAACCAAAATTTGTCTAATCATTCACACCAACAATTTCATGGCGTCAACTCAACATTTTGCTTAGTAAAGATCGCTGAATTTTGTAAAATAATATACTCCTGTACTTGAGGTTTATGAATCCACCTTGATTTTATTTATTATTATAATGTATACTATTGCTACACTTTATATACATAATACGAAGTGCGGCCAGCGGGTCTCGTGGAATAGGTATTCGAGCACCAGCTTTGCAAATGAGAGTGCTGGGTTCGACGTCGATTCTCGGGCATTTCCAATTTTTTTATTGCTCAAATCAAGAACGGTATACCTCATTTTCTTATCGAGGATACAAGAGGCAGGATTTGTCTTTTTTTTTTTAATGTGAAACCTTCTCGGGGGCCCAACTGTCTTTTTTAAAAATATAAAACCTTCTCGGTGGCGCCGAATGTATTTTTTTAATGTGAAACCTTCTCAGAGATCCCAACTGTTTTTTTAAATGCAAAACCTTCTCGGGGGGCCCAAATCTTTTTTTTTAATATAACATCTTCTCGGGGGTGTCAACTGTTTTTTTTTATGTGAAACCTCTCAGGGTCCCAACCGTGTTTTTTAAAAATGTAAAACGTTCTCGGAGGTCCCAACTGTCTTTTTTAAAAATGTAAAACGCTCTCGGGGCGCTAAATGTTTTTTTTTTTTAGGATGTGAAACCTCCTCATGAGTGCCAGCTGTCCTTTTTAAAAATGTAAAACCTTCTGAGGGACCCCAAATGTTTTTTTTAATGTGAAATATTCTCAGAGGTCCCAACTATCTTTTTTTTTTTAATATAAAACCTTCTCGAGGGCGCCAAATGCCTTTTTTTATGTGAAACCTTATCGGGGGTCCCAACAGTCTTTTTTTAAAATGTAAAACCCTCTCGGGGGTGCCAAATGTCTTTTTTTAAAAATGTAAAACCTTCTCGGGGGTCCCAACTATCTTTTTTTAGAAATATAAAACCTTCTTGGGGGCGCCAAATGTTTTTTTTTATGTATGTAAAACCTTCTCGGGGGTGCCAAATGTCTTTTTTTAAGAATGTCAAACCTTCTCGGGGGTCCCAACTATTTTATTTTAAGAATGTGAAACCTTCTCGGGGGCCGCAAATGTCTTTTTTTTAAGAATGTAAAACCCTCTCGGGGTCCCAACTGTCCTTTTTTAAAGAAGGCGAAACCTTCTCGGGGGCCCCAAGTGTCGTTTTTTAAGAATGTGAAACCTTCTCGGGGGTCCCAATTGACTTGTTTTTTTTCTATTACACTGCACTGTGACTAGCACCTTCTGTATTGTTTTTACTCCATAGAGGTTATCAAGAAAAAGTACAATTCCGCAAAATCAAAAAAAAGGGAAAGTTTGTATTTTCGCATTCCACGAACTGTGAAAAGCCAAGAATTTATAAAGCAAGTGAAAATGAAAAAGACAGTGGCTTATGAACAGACGATAATTGCAATATTCCTGGTGAGATTTTATGCTCTGAAAATGGCTATAAAGCTGAATAAGGAGGCAATTTTCTAGATGAGCAGTCTAATACAATATTAAACCGTCATATAACTTTATTTAGCTACACTACCGACGCGCTTACATCACATTGACCACGCCTACATTTTTAATCAATAGTATTGTTACCAAAATTAAATGATAATTAAACAACATAACTAACACCTCTTCACGTACGTCTGCTGAATAAAAAAAAAACTATCACAACAGCACGGTTTTATGTCTTCGAGTATCATTGAAGTGATTTTACATAAACTATAAACATGCAATCATGATTTTTTT